TGCACAGCCCTGCTTCAGTGGCTGTTGCTGCCCACACAGGAAACACGGGGTCTGTACCGTACCTACCGGGTCCTGCCGAGCGTGGGAAGTGCGTGCCTTGCTGTGCTTTAGGAGGAAGCGAAGCTCCCCTCCAGTAACTGAAGGCGTAATGTTCCAAGTCGAGTACATTTCTGCTGTTCTATCTCCCTTTCCACGTGGGCTTCCCAACAAATCGTTAGGCGGATAAAGTAGGTTCAGCTCTGCTGACCTACTCCAAACCCAACTCACACACGGAGCTTGAAGACTGGATGGGCTCAGTGGGAAGCCCTGCGGGGACCAGTTTCTAAGGGCCACTAAACCATCGGTAGGACCCCAAGCCTCACTAGAATATCATGGAATACCTAAAAATGGGCTTGCCAAAACTCCTGAGCTGGCAATGTAGCTCAGTGGTAGAGTCCTTGCTTAAAAGTACAAGGCCCTGCATTCCCCAGCATAATAATAATAATAAATAAATAAAGGTGGGGGACCTGAAGAGCATTGTGTGTGGCTGGCAAAGTCCAATGAACTGGCAAATCTCACATGGAGCTCCGCTGTTTCCCTAAGGTGTCTGGTTCTTGGGGGAGGGGTGAATGGTAAAAACTATGCACAGAGCACTGAGCATCCAGTGTCCTGTGCTGGGGACAACAAAGAACAGAATGCTCTGTCTACCATGCTGTCTTGTGTCCTTAGGAAATCAGCACTTCGTGCTTAAGAGAGCTGGGCTCTTTCGGGAAGTTAGCCCTGGTCCCCTTATGTTGTCCCTGATGCTGAGTAAACTGACGTGCCCAACAGGGTCTTGAGTTGACATTCCAGATGACAGGAAGGAGGCTACCATGAGCAGGCTTCTACCAAGCTCCAACCCCTCACTGCTTGCTTCCTGGCCTTACAGAATACAAAGGCTCCAGCATTAAGGATGGCATGGAACAGTGGTGTTTGATCAGAGGGCAAAAACTGTCTCCCAAATGATGTGACATTTCATTCCCATAACAATCCTTGACGAGATTGTCATCTCCACAGCATCTTTCGAAGATAATGAGAACACGTGTCAAGGAACAGTAACTAAGGTCTCACAGCAGTCCTAGTACACACACACACACACACACACACACACACTCACACATGCTTGCACAAATGTGCACACAGAGACACACACAACATACACATGCATGCACAAAGGCATGCATGTACACACAGATGCATGCACATACTCTCTTGTGTGTCCTGGGCTCTGCATCACAGACCACTATTGTGGTTGAGTGTGAAATGTCCCACACAGTCTCCTGCGTTCCCACCTGATGATACTGTTTTAGGAGGCTGTGGAGTCTTTAGGAAGAGGAGCTGAGCTGAAGGCTATGGGTCACCGGGAGGGAATAGTCTTAGCAGTTAGCCCAGCTCCACTTCCAGCTGATCTTTGTTTTTGCCCATTGGTTCGGAGCAATGTAAGGAAGCCAGAGTACAAGTTCTCACAGCCACTCTTAGCCTCCCTGCCTTCCCCACTGTGACAGGCTGTGCCCCCAAATCATGAATGAAATCCTTCCTTCAGGTCCCTTTTGTCAGTTTTTGGTCCTAAGGACAAGAGGAATAACCAATGTACCCCCATCTCTGCTGAGCTTGGAAACCATAGGCAGCTGCTGAGTGAGCTTTCTTCTTAGCATCATCAGCCAGATTGCATGGACATGCATGTGCGCATGCCTCCTGCCACACATGCATGTGTGTGCATAATGTACAAGCTGCAAGGAGTATACATGTGTGTGCCCAAACTGCCATAATTAGGTTCCTGATAAAATAGGCATCACTTCCCATTCCAGGAACTATTCAGCACAGTTCAAGAGTCCTACTCAAGGATGAATCAAAGGAGCCATCTTCCCAACAACAGAATCATCTTCACTTTGTAAATGATTAGCTGCTTTGGCAGCTGGAGAACCAACCGGGAAGCAATTGTTCCTGGGAAAGATTCTTTGCCTGTCTGCTCGGTTAAGTGCATTTCTCAGACTGTTATTTTATCTCACTCCCCTCAGGACTCTGCCCTTAGCCGACTCCAAGCAGCAATATAATTCACCTTTTTGCTTCAATTTTAAAGTGCCAGCGTATTTTCAGGACTATAGCCTTTGGAGGGGGTGGGTAACTGGTGGGGTGTGGGTGAGTATAAAAAATAAAAGAGAAACTAAAAAAGAAGAGAGAGAAGAAGAAGAAATCTAAAGGAATAAAATTAAAAAAGCATAGAGAACCAAGAAGAGAACAAAAAGAAGGGGAGGGAAGAAAGGGGGAAGAAAGAAGTTAAATGAGAGGAAAAGAGATTTAAAAAGGAGAAAGCCATGTTGCACAATAGATTACTCAAATGTGCACATCCCTTGGACTGGGATGTGCAGTGGTAGGACCCAGCAAGCCAGCAGCTTGATGACCTCAGCCTACTTCCCGCCCCAAGTCCTTTAAGATGCTGCCTGTCGTAGGACCAGTGTCCTCCAGAGGAGTGAGAAGCTGCCCCATAGACAGCGCTGTACAGCGGGAAAATTGATCACTGCCTTATCCCAAGTGCCCCCTGGGATGGGCTCATTGGGGGAAGCATGCCCCACTGTGATCATCGGCCAATTTTCAGACCAACAAAAGCAACAGAGACCCTTCAAAATCAACCCACAGATCAACTCTGCCTAGAAATACCAGCTTCTTAAGAAAAAAAAAATACATAAGCCAATAATCCCATGTCAGTCTCTTGCTAGTGCCCAGCGAAGTTTTTAAAACAATGGTGCCAGGGCTGGAGAGATTGTGCAGTGGACAAGAGCAGTTGCTGCTCTTGCAGAGGACCTGGGTTCGACTCCCAGCACCCACGTGGCAGTTCACAACTGTCAGACTCCAGCTCCAGGAAATCTGATACCCTCTTCTGGAATCCACAAGCACCAAAAATACATGTGGTGCACACGCATGCACGCAGGCTAAACATTCATACACATAAAATAAAAATAAATAAATCTTTTTTAAAAAATAAAACAATGGTACCTAGATATATATCCATACACCAAGAAGTGTAGAAGTCACACTATGTCAAATAAGACAATGCCACTTCTGCAAACACAACATAGTCGATTGTCTGCTGTTACTGGGTAGCAGAACTGCGTTTTCTCTCCTCGTTTACAGTTGACCAGGACCCTCTCCTATGTTCTGATCAGTAAATATTGAAAGATTTTTAAAGCTTCTACTTTAGCGTGCAAGCTCATGCTGATCTGTACATGTCTACAAGGGCAGGGATGGGAAAAATACCACTTCAGAGTAACTCAACCTCACAATTAATAATTGAGAATCTCTTTCTCTTTTTCCCTTGCCTTTTTTCTCTCTGAACAAGAATGCACTCTTCAGCTTGTTAAGCTCCGCTCACTCCCACTGATAACTCACCAGAGATCATAATTTATGGACAATTGGAGCTGCAGAAACATCTCTTAGAAGGGATAGAGCAGATCCATAGCAACAATTCTTCGGGGGAATATTAATCCCCGGCTTTATGTAGTGCTAAGTGTACAATGGTAATCAGACCTTGAGTAGAAGCTGCTAATCATTGAGGGAAAAGGCTGTATAAAGAATTCATAATGGAATTAGCCCGCGGCAAACAAAGAAAGACAAAATTAAATCAGCCATCAAATTGCACCAAGGAATTTTAATTTACAGGTTAATGTAGGATTATGTAACTAATCACAGCTAACATTTTCAATGAACAACCAATAAAATTCTGCCCTTTTTTTCTTTCTAATCTTACTAATGGTATTCCAATAACATACCTGTATGACTCTAAAAAAAAAAAATGGGTCTCAAAAAATTCTGAGTCTTTCTAATGGTCAGAAACAGGGAAGAAACTGTTTTGAAATAATCCATCAAAAGTGTGAACCTAAGAAGAGCCGCTCCTCAGTTCATCCCAGACCCAATAATATCTGGATGGGTTTGCATAAAACAGATTTACATAACCATATAGCTTTAAAGTATATGTATGTCTCTCCTGCAGTGCAGGGAGCTAAAATGAGACAAAAGAGACTAAATTAAATATGTGAAACTAATTTGGAGCACAAAGTATATCAGCTAATTCTAAATAAAACCACTGCCATAGATTTATATGTCAATATTGCAGACATATCCAATGACATACACACTAAGGATTGCACTAACGGGGTTTTCATGGTTTATAAATGTGAACATCATAAAAAGAAATAAGGTTTCTGGGCTAAAAAGTTGATTAGCATTCCCCAGAGGAGGGGGCTGGAGTCTTGTACACTCCCCAGTTATATTTTGATATCAAGCAATGCATGGCAAAGACAGAAAAGAATACCTCTATACAATTTGAAAAATTATCCGAAACCCACGGCTTCATAAATATAAATATGTAAACAGACAGCATAACTCTTTGCACATTGGCAAGGAGGAACTCCAAATTTATACTGTACGCTTAAAAAGACATCAGTTTAATCAAAAAGATCTTTTTCCAACATCTGGCAGAAGGAAAATGATTATAAATGGAGTAAAAAGTACGTTTGTGAGCCTTGCTTCACGGGGGAAGAATGCGGGCGAGAGGCGGCGGCATCCCTCCTGCATGTGTTTTTCTTGTGGGGAACAATGTGGGAAAGTCTCATTTTCCTTTAATCTAAATGTTCGTTTTATGGAAGCAGCAACATTCGGCCCAGTTATTAGCAAAGGAGTTTTGTTGCTTTATAAAGTCTAATTTTAAGATGCTCACTTCCAAAAAAACATTATGGTGTCAATTGCAGTACCCTTCAGCAATCCTGTAATAACTTTATTCAACCATTTCTAATTATAATTATATTTTCAATTCCTTTTAGCTATAGAAACTCTTTATCAATCAGAGCACAAGACAGAAAATTACTTTATTACAGCTACAGCTCGTTAGTCTGAGTGCTCTTAATGAAGCAGGCTCATAATCAGATGAAAATCATGCTGGAGAAAACTTGCATCATTAGTCTGGGCCTTAATTACCAAGAAATATAGTCACTAACAATGATATTCCATTTCATGATATGGTGCATGCACCTTCTACACTAGTTGCAATTAATAATTCCACTGACTGCTACAGAATCTTTCCTATTTATTCATAACAATGGAGGGGGGAAATTCTAAATTTAATTGAGCGCTTCAGATTGTGCTCTCTCTCCCTCTCTCTTGCGTTCAGATTAAAATGTCACAAGGCTAATATTCTATCTTACAATAATTCATCATTTTAATTACATATTTTATGTATGTGAAATGTCTTTTTCGGCTTTATGGTATAGGTTGACATTTTGGGGGGACGCATCAGGGGAAATGGGTGGCCCCTCATGAAGGCGGTTCCTGCCACCCAGGACCACAATTGAAAAAAAAAAAGTGCTGTCATCAGCACACCCGTTTCATCTGCACTGGGAAAAGCTGGCTTCGGGAATAGGGTCCTTCACTGAAATGGCCTTGGTATCTCCTGATAGGCTGGGGACAGTGGTGGGGTGGCGACGCCTGGGGTGGGCAAGGCTCTGTCACTGGCCTCTTTGTTAAGCATGATTGATCACAGACAGAATCAGCAACTTCCCTTTGTGAAAGCCTGCTTTCTTCTGCCCCGTTTCAAGTCACCCTTTCCGTGCCTCCCGCTTACCAAGATCCTTGCTTCTGACCTCCTGAGAAACGCCTGGGAAGGAGACCAGGCCTCCAGGCTGCCCTCAGGAGCAGCTCGGGGCACATCTCTGGATCCCAGACGATGGCCACCTGAATTCTGGTGTTCTCTACAGTCTGGCTTAAGCCTGAAACATGGGGCCATGGGGCCTCTGTTGCTGGTTTTCAAACACAAATTAGGTTCTTGGGTGCAGGCAAAGAGTGCTGGGAAGGGCAGAGGGCAGTGGACTTGGCAGAGATAAATGAGATCCCTACTTGACCTCCGACCCCAAAGATGCCTGGTGCTGAACTTCCTGTCTGACACTGCCTGTTCATGGGAATTGTTGCCAAACAGCTGATTCGATTCATCTGGGCTACACTTTGCCCAGTCATCTGCCTTCGGAGCACCAAAAGCTTTGACAAATGAAATGGACAGAAGAGAATGACTTGGAAAAATCTACAATTCCCAGTGGAAGAGTTGGCTAGGAACTAAGAGAATGTTAACTTTATATACCCTTAGCATCTGGTTCCTACACCAAGAATGCAAAGATCCTCTACTAAAACAATCATTGGCTTCACACTGACTCTTATTAAGCAAGTGGTGACAGACTTCAGAAGCCACCATAAAGAAGAACACTGTCCTCTCCACCTGAATCCAAACTCAAAACATATCAACAGCAGACTGAATAATAAAATGAAAGCCCACCACCAAGAACTCCAGGTAGCGAGTACCATGAAGGAAGAAACCATCTGTACCATTAGGGACCCGGTAGCAGCATGTGGTGTTCACATAGACTTCACAGACAAAGAGGGCACCGAGCAGGGATCTGGGAGAGGAGAGCCCCAAGAAGAGATGGGGCAGAGCAGGATAATGGGGGCCACCTGGAAAAGAGTGTTCAGTGGACAAAAGGAGATGGACCTGGGCCAAGGCAAAAAGAGGTGGACAAACAGCAGCAAACGAAAAGCAGCCCAGGAAGACATCGGAGGAGAGAGCGATAATCAGAATCACACAGAGCATTTCCATAGCAAAAATGCTTGGCATTCTGTGAAGCCCAGTGGCTTGCAAAACAGCTGGAGATGTACACTGATCCCCAAGGACAACTGAATCCTGAGGTCCAGTCTGATGCCCTCAGAAACAACGGCTGGCGCTGACAAGGTAAAGAAGAGCTGGAGGGGAGTGGTTGAGTTCCACAGCCTCCTATTCACACGAGGTTGTCTTCACGGTTCTCGTCATTGCCTTCCATCACTCCTTAACACTTTCTCCAGACGTCACTCCGCACGCGCACACACAGACGTGACGATGGGTATTTTCATCTGGATATGGCTGTCCATGGGCACGGCACCTGTAGCGCACTAGACCTTTGAGGCTACAGCCTGCACTCTGCTATCCCATCTCAGTGTCCAATTTCCTTGGTGGGAATGAGACAAGAGGACAACAAACACATCAGCAGAGAATAGAACTACTTCACCTGGCAGCGGGGTACGAGGGGGAGTTGTCAAAAGGCTAACGACCTCATTGACTTCATCACCCTTCCTCAGTCCAGTAGCTGCAGCATGAGAGCATCCTGGGCCCACCATACCAGCCTGTGAGCTCAGGAAGATGATTTCACTTCCTCTGTGCCTTGGGTCCCAGCTTGTCTGGAACAAGGACAGTAATGTTAGCTTTAGAAGTCTGTGGCAAAGGGGTTCTGGGATGAGGTAAAATTGCTCACGAGAATTTCAGACAGGAGTTTCCAAACCCCCACGTAAAGTGGTTTACACTAGAGACACACCCCCACCCCATAGGCTCCGGTATTTGAACGCTTGGTTCCTAGTTGTGATCTGTATGGGGAGGCTTAGATGGTACAGCTTTGCTAGAGGAATTAAGTCACAGGAGACGAGTATTTAGATCATATAATCCCCAAACTGCTTGTTTATTCTATCTCATTCCTACTTGAGGAAGGACCTACAAGATATGAGGTCTCAGCTTCCTGCCTCCATGTCTGCCTCTGCCTGACGTCATGCCCCACTGCCAGGATGGACTGCTATCCCTCTGGAATTACAAGCCCAAATAAACTCCTTCTTCCATTGTAGTTCCACTCTTAGTTGCCTTGATTACGGTGTCTACCACAGCAACAGAAAATTTAACTGATACACCATGGCACATTGCAACCACCTAGCCCAAGTTTTCCCATTCTGAATCAAGCAGATCAGGGTCTATCAGGTAGTGTTCTCAAAGCCCTGTGCTAGATGGAGTAGGCTATCAGGGCCGAGACACACTGATGCTGAGTCTTGAGGTCTATGCCTGATTTTGCAATGTGGATAGACCAGTGGAAAGGTTTGCATGTTAGCAAGTGTGACGTCCTTATCCGGGCCTTGGGGAGAGCCACAGGAATCTTGTAGTTCAAGATGTGCATTTATGACTCACGAATGAATGCCACAGCCCTGGCTGATGGAATGTGTCTGTTGGCTCTTCCAGCTGGCAATGTGCTCCATCTCCGACACACGGAGCAGACTACATGCACCAAATGTTCCCATACAACTGGCACCTGTGACTTCTGCAAACACTTCTGCCTGGGACCAGGACATGCACATTTCACCCATGAGTAGCAGCAGGGCTGAGACTGCCTCCCTGTGGCTTAGTGATCCCAGCCAGCACACCCCTGGCCCCAGCAGTAAGGGCCACAGGGAGGGAGGTCTTCCACCCCACTCTGAGGGTGAGGAGGTTGGGATGTCCAGACTCAGACTAAGTCCTCAGATATTTTGATGACTTTGACAGATGTTCGACACTTGCATTTGCCAGTTCTTGGGACACTAAAAATTTCAACTACTTATATCCTTCAACCCTAAATAAATCTGCCAGGTGTTCCGAGGACAATCTTCTATTTATTTATTTGCTTTAAATATTTAAGAGACTTCCGCCACAAAAGACCTTGGAGACCCTGCATGAAATGATAGAAAACCACAATTAAAAAAAGAGGAAGAGAGAAAGAAAAAGCCCCAAGGAATATCTAAACCCATCAATCACGCCGCCATCTACTTTTCTTCCGGCAGGAAGGGATATGCTTGGGGCTGTGGTGGTTGATGGAACCGCGAAAGGGGTCAGCCTCACTCAGGGCATAGGTGAGCACAGCCTCTGCCTGGCCTTACAGGGACAAAGAAAGAAGAGGGGGTTTCCCTGACGGGCTGAGACATCAAGCCCCCACACTTTCTGATTTTGACCACATTCCTCACCCCTACAGAGGGATCAAGGGGGAAATAAGCAAAGAGGAAAAACTGTCAACAGTGAATGAGAAATAATACCCTGAGCTTTAGACACCTTGAAAACAAGAGCCAATACAGCAATGGGCTTGAAATCAAACATAGAAAGACAAAATACAGCCAGGGTCCTCTCACATGAGGTTTCTAGAACAGTCTACTGCATGTGGACAGAGTGCAAGTGTGTTATCCAGGACTAGGGAGAGGAAGGAAGATTCCGTTCCTGCAGGGGAGTTAGAGCGTTCTCACTGGAGCCTGTGGAAGGTTCCTGAGATGGGATAGTGTTAACGATTATACAATATAAATGTACCTTATGCCACGGAAGAGAAAAACATGGTTACAGTGTTATGTGGTGTGTATTTTACCATAATAATAAAAAAAAAACCAACCATGAAAGAACACTCATCTTGAGGCTAAAAGGGGATTGTTTAATATTTAATAATGTTTTACTGCAGTGATTAAAAAAAAAAAACATTAAAAATCCAAAACTCTACAGTTTAGAGCTCTTCCTGAAAATACTGGATGCAATATAAAAAGGAAGACCCAAGACACAGACTTGGTTAGGAGCCCAGGGCTTAAGGACATAGGCTCAGGAGCCCCGGGCCTGAGGCCTCTTTCTGAGCAGACTGCGTTGGACCTCTGACCAATCACTGTGCCTCTCAAAGCAGGAACATTGCTGTTTATCTCTTTGTGGAACCTCTAACACGGAGAGTGCTATCTGCTTTCCGTTCCTGAGGTCACCTCTTCCTCCCCATTTGTCAATGTCTGGGCACATTTTTCAGTTGCCACACTGGAGGATAGGGGGCGCTGCAGGCGCTGACGGGAGAGGTCGGAATGTTGCTACACAGGCCTCTCCCGCGACAATCAGCCCTCCCCAAATGTCGGCCACGGTAGGAAACCCGTTTTATACCATTGGAAATCCGGCGGAGGGGCTGCCGAGGCGGCTCAGTGGGTAGAGCCCTTGCTGTGCTCGCCTCGGGGAGCTGAGGTCAGATCCCTGGGACAAATGTAAAAGCCAGATGGAGCAGCTTGAGTGTGTAATACTGTCTCCTCCTGAGGACAGGAGGCAGAGACCGGTGGGGGTGCGGGTAGGGGTCGGGGGTCGGGGGGTGGGGACGCCTGGAAGCTCAGGCCAGCTAGCTCGGTGTTTGCTGCAGTGAGCAAGAGA